GGCAGGACTGGTGATTCTGACTGACCCCATGTTCAGCCAGAGAGCCTCTCCAGTCCCATTCATGGGCCCGAAGCGTTACCGTGACCCGCCTTGCACCGTAGAACAGCTTCCTCGCCTGGACGCAGTGGTGATCAGTCATACACACTACGATCACCTCGACGCAGACTCTGTGGCAGCACTGAACGCTTGCTTTGGTTCTGGTTTGCACTGGTTTGTGTCTCTTGGGTTGGCCGAATGGATGCAGAAGGCAGGCTGTGAGAATGTCACAGAGATGGACTGGTGGGTGGGGAGCCGCATTCCTGGGCACGCCGGCACAGCACTGGTGCAAACGCATGCCTGTGGATGACAACAAAGCATTATGGGGAAGCTGGACTATCGTAGGCCCACATTGTCGTTTCTTCTTTGCTGGGGATATGGGATACTGTTCAGCATTTAAAGAGATTGGAAAACGCTTCGGACCGTTTGACCTGGCTGCCATCCCGATTGGAGCTTATCTGCCCAGGTAAGCAAAAGGGTCTGGCTGCAGCCTGGTGCTTGCACTCTCAGACGTGCATTCTCAGGCGTGCACTCTCAGACACTTGCGCTTCCGCTAGCGACGTCACTTGCAGTCTTTTTTATTTTTTATTTTGTTCTATTTATTGATTACTTTTTGTTTGAATCTCTCACCTGCACTTGCAATCGCCACTTGCACTCTCCGCTACCTGCGACGTCACTTGCACTAAAAGCTAAAACTTTATAAATACTACCTATACACATTTTAAAAATAAAGAGATGAAATAAAAATGACAAAGACTGCAAGTGACGTCGCTAGCGGAAGTGCAAGTGTCTGAGAGTGCAAGCCTGAGAATGCACGTCTGAGAGTGCAAGCGCCAGGCTGCAGCCAGACCCTTCTCCAGGTAAGACCTTAAAGAGCAGTTTGCTTCCTAATCTAGTTGTCAAATAAACCTTGCATTGCATATTATGAATATTGTTGGTTCCTTGAAGAATTACTTGTGTTCCTCTTTTGTCGCTTGGAATAAAAGCATCTGCTAAATGGATAAATGTAAAAAGCAGATGTGTGTTTTCCTGTTTTTAACTGAAGTACAATTATGACATGCTTTGTTTTGCTTAGAGGAATCATGAGGTCTCAGCATGTGGACCCTGAAGAGGCTGTTCAGATTCACATGGACATTCAGGCGAAAACATCACTGGCCATTCACTGCGGGACGTTTGCTTTAGCCTATGAGGTATGAGCCTGTCTGTCTCTCAGTGTGAATGGGTTCCACTGAGCTGACCAGCTGTCACTGCTCTGATTGTGTGTAATTGTTGTCCAGCTGTGGTCGGGAAGTCCAGTCTTTGTTGTTGTATTGCGTCAGGCTTCACTGCTGCGGCTACGTATTCATGCCTCTCTGAGGGAGAGTCTTGGCTGTAGAAGCATTTAGACACGAGACGACAATTAGGTCAATAAACGATAACTGTGACTATATCAACATGCAATATCGTGGATGATGAAAGACGAGACTAAAATGTATAAAAACTATACCAAAATCGTTTTTTATTTTCGTCGAAAAAAGGAGACAAAATATTATTGCGGACTGCTGTAGCCTAGATACATACTATGCAATCTTTCATGTGTGCGGTGGCCAGATATCAAGAGTTCAAATCCCCAAATCAGAGCTTCTCTGTTAAAAGGATACGTTTTCTGCCCAGTGTTTTGCTTAATTTTTTCAATCTGGCAACAATGCGCACGCGCTCGCTCGACATTACGGAAGTGTCGACGATGATCTGAAAACGCAGACAAACAAGTAATCTGGAGTTTAGCTATCTCCATGAGAGATGTTTAGCTTAAATCTTTCAGCCAGTCTGTCTTCTGTCATGAGATCTTGACTATTTTGTTTGTGATTGTGGTTGCTGAGTAAATGCACTTACTCACCACTGTTGTTTTAATATAGAAACATTATTGCAATTTGGAATTTCACTGTTAATTAATTTTTTGTTTGTTTTTACCGGTTTTTATAATGTAGAGAGAGTGCATATCTAAGTCTTTAATATTAATTTATATAATAAATAGCTTATAATAAATCAGTACACTAGATGAGATAAAATAAACCATGTGTATGAGTCCACAAAAACTATACCAAAATCGTTTTTTATTTTCGTCGAAAAAAGGAGACAAAATATTATTGCGGACTGCTGTAGCCTAGATACATACTATGCAATCTTTCATGTGTGCGGTGGCCAGATATCAAGAGTTCAAATCCCCAAATCAGAGCTTCTCTGTTAAAAGGATACGTTTTCTGCCCAGTGTTTTGCTTAATTTTTTCAATCTGGCAACAATGCGCACGCGCTCGCTCGACATTACGGAAGTGTCGACGATGATCTGAAAACGCAGACAAACAAGTAATCTGGAGTTTAGCTATCTCCATGAGAGATGTTTAGCTTAAATCTTTCAGCCAGTCTGTCTTCTGTCATGAGATCTTGACTATTTTGTTTGTGATTGTGGTTGCTGAGTAAATGCACTTACTCACCACTGTTGTTTTAATATAGAAACATTATTGCAATTTGGAATTTCACTGTTAATTAATTTTTTGTTTGTTTTTACCGGTTTTTATAATGTAGAGAGAGTGCATATCTAAGTCTTTAATATTAATTTATATAATAAATAGCTTATAATAAATCAGTACACTAGATGAGATAAAATAAACCATGTGTATGAGTCCACATGATTTGTGCTTATTGGTGAAAGTTCAATACCTGAAATGTAAAAATAAATTTCTCAAATGACAAAAATCATTGCGATTATAATTACATCAATCAATCAAACTCGGGTTTGGAACAAGCAATCGAACCAAGTGTGAAAGCACCCTAAGACTGGTGTGTTCACACTTGCCATGTTTGGTTCGTTTAAAACGAACTCTGGTGCGATTGCTCTGATAGTGCGGTTCATTTGAGTAAGTGTGAATGCTGCCATCCGAACCCTGGTGCACACCAAACAAGTGGACTGAGACCGCTTTAAAAGGTGAGTCTTTTAAAAAGGTGGAACTCTGGTGCGGTTCAAATGAAATATGAACGTTAACACGGACCAAAGACAGGACTTGAGTTCACACTTGCCATGTTTGGTTCGTTTAAAACGAACTCTGGTGTGATTGCTCTGAGTGCGGTTCATTTGAGTAAGTGTGAACGCTGCCATCCGAACCCTGGTGCACACCAAACAAGTGGACTGAGACCGCTTTAAAAGGTGAGTCTTTTAAAAAGGTGGAACTCTGGTGCGGTTCAAATGAAATATGAACGTTAACACGGACCAAAGACAGGACTTGATGTCACAAGATGTGACCCTAAAAAGGACAGAATGCTCAAGCCTACCTGTTTTTTCTAGTCATATAGTCGCGATGTTGCCCATCAAAGTTTGGTACGGGCATCAGAACCACGTCTCCTCGTAGCTTCGTCTCTGTGTGTGACGGAGGGATTCCTGCCGCTGTTTTGACTCCTTTACACATTTTATGAGCTCTTCACGAGTTCTCAAAAGCATTTAGCCCAACACAAAGCATTGTTTTGGATGTTCGGTCACGAAATCTATGTCATAAAAGCCGACCAATCAGGTTGTGAACGGATCCCTATGCCTTTAGGTTCTGTATCTTTATGTTCAGTGTTAAAATGCCAATGTGAATGCTAAGCGGACCAGGACTAAAAGTTTTTTTTTTTTTTTTTGGTCCGGACCAAATTTAACCAAGTGAACTGAACTACAAGTGTGAACAAACCCAAAAAAGACTAAAAGGCATGCTGGCAATTTTCCGGGATCTGCGCACTGTGTGAAAGGGGCTTAAGACTAAGACTAAATTAAAAATGACTGACAAAATTAGCACTATTTTCAAGAGGGGTTTTTTTTTTCTGTTTATTTAAAAAAATAATAAGTTACAGTAGAAAACAGTTAATTTAAGCTGTAATTATATTTCACAGTATTACTGTTTTGCTGTATTTTTGGACAAATAAATGCAGTCTTGATGAGCACAAGAGACTTCTTTCAAAAATATGTAAAAAAAAAAAACCGTACCAATCAAAAAGAGTAATGTGTGTATATAATTACATGTTGTTCCGTTCTGTTTGTTTCTCTCTCAGCATTATCTTGACCCTTCAGCATGTTTGCATGAGGCTATGGTGAATCATGGACTGAATCCAGATCTGTTCTTTATACTTCATCACGGAGAGTCACAGCTGATCGACCACGAGGACACGCACTCGTCCAGCTAAACAGAAACCCAGGAAGTATGCAGACACGCATTATGATCTACATAGGCTGCGTTTCTATAAATTATTTTACAGCTGCAGATTGTGTTGATCCAGTGGCTGGACTCTGGATTTTAATGTTAAAAAATCTATTAGATTTCTATTTTGATTTAATATAATTTGCCATTTACAATATCATGATGTGACCATAATAAAACAAAACCTGAATTGAAATTGTGTATCTAGAACAGGGTTCCTCAAATCTTGCCCTGGAGGGCCAATGCGCTGCAGAGTTTAGCTCCAACCCTGATCAAAGTCACCTACCTGTGATTTTCTAATGATCCCGAAGACATTGATTAGCATGCTCAGGTGTGTTTGAATAGGGTTAGAGCTAAACTCTGCAGGAAAGTGGATCTCTTGGGCCAGATTTGAGGATCCCTGATCTAGAAGCTCTGCTAGTTGGAAGAACGTTGGTCAGGTGAGATCTTACCTGAGGACCTTGTTGTAAATCCTTCATAAGATGCAGAAGAACCAAACCTTAGGAAATTCACTTTATTTGCAATTGTTTAATAACATCATTCCTCAGATAAAAATGCAATATTACAGGAATATACAGCAGAGATTAATTTAAAACTTCCTGTCAAGAACCATACAATCTAAAGATATTTTTTAGTTTTTATTTACTGGTAGCGTGCGTTATAAGCAAGACACACTCTGTCACCAAAGACAGACTGACAGATACAGATACAAACTGTACAATCACTTATTTACAAATCCAATTTTTTGTTGCTTTTTTCGTTTCAGTTTTTTTTTAAAATAGGAGTAGAAAAAGTGATTGAATCTTCAGATTTACGTAGCGTATTCTTTTTAAAATCTAAATGAACAAATGAAAGAATGATGAAATGAAACAAAAGAGTCTCAGCAAAAGTAGAGGAGGGAATGACAGACCATGCAGACGTCTCACAGTTTTCAATAACACCTGGGGTCTAAACGCCATTAAATAGTCCAAAATGTGAATGACCTCTGACGGTGTTTCGTGAGAGACCTGAATGGTCAGCACTGATGCCTTCGAATTCTACCAAAAGCATGACACGCGTCTAATTTTAATTCAGCTCGTTAATCTAACAAACAGCTGAGGACCTCAAGACTACACTTCCCATCCGTACCGCCAATCAAGACTACAGAAGCTGCTGGTGTGGTCACCGAAAATAAAGCAACTGAGACGATCCGCTCAAAGATTCCTCCCTTTGTGAGTCTTAAGCTGTTAAACGTAAACCAAATCACCTCCGACCGCAGGAAAATAGTGTAATGCAGATTCGGGCTTCAGCCTCTATAACAGAAAGAATTGTGGGCTGCATCTGTAGATGAGTGAGTAGTCCTGCCACCCATTAGAGAAAAAGGGACCCAACAATTCAAGCCCAGAGCTCGGCGCCATCAAACAGAGCATTACTTCCATCTCTGCAGAAAGAAAGCAGGATGTGGTAAAGAACAAGTTGTTAAAAGGTTCACTCATACGTGGAGATTTGTGCAATATTAACTCTTTGAGCTCCTCAACATAATCGTTACCGTTCCGCCCATCTCCTTCTGTCTCTAGTACTACATTCGCTGGGTGGAACTAGAAGTGGGGAAATGCCACTCGAAAACCTCAAATTGGTTCATATAAATTGTTCTGCATTCACCTACCCACTGAACAAATCTGCATTAATTATCGTCCCACCTGTTGAAATGAAACTATGGCAAGATTGACGTTTTGAGCTTAGGGCGAAATTAGTATTTACACAACAGCTAAAATCTATGCATAAATTCATCCTTTACTTGGATTATGTGTACGATGTGTCAAACTAAACGTGGTTTAAATGTGCAAATTGGGATTATTGCATCACCACCTTAGCTTTTAGTTTATCATTAAAACTCATTAACGCACTACATTAACTTATAATATCAAATTAACAGTCATATAAAGGAGGACATTAGAGATACGTGCTACACAAAGGTTAAACCAGAGGGCAGACATTGCACATGTCCAGGCTTTCTCTGGGTCAAAAGTCAACCCCACAGCACATTCCTTCAGTCTGACACGTGCAGAATTGGCATACGAACACGCATGAACCCAGAAACACCGGACGGCCCGAACGGATACTTGAACTACAGACGTCCTTAATAAATCCACTAACATTTTGTGTTTGTGCATTACTGGGTTCATCCAAATAAAACAAACAAACAAACAAAACAACACCCTAAAGATAAAAAACAAAACAAAACTATGTTTTACTGTAATGTGTTGTGAACTTGAATGGTTGTAACAATGCTGCTCATTTGTTATGGATAGTTTACTCTTTTCTGAGGGTATTATATTTCCAAAAATATTAAGCATTTAAATGCATACATAAAACCATTTCTTTCAATATACTCTTTTCTATTGGGGAAACTTGTGCGCTACTGCTACAGATGGCAAACCGAAATACAAGCCACAATCAATCAAAGTCCCATCAGGAGAGCAACCTACACTTCCCCTGCTGAAATGTCATCCATTACGTCACCGACATTCCCTCCAACCAGTGCGAAATAACTTCCATCTGATAAATATTTCTCATATATTAAAATATATAAAATAACTTCTGATTCTCTGAGAGAAGAAAAGCTACATTACAACCATTTGGGCAAAAACCTCACTGAGCAACTAATAAAATATTCAGTCAAATATTTGGTACATTTCTCCAAGGCCTGAGCAGACAGCTCTCTGTGTTCATTCATTAGCAGTTTCATTCAACACAGGCGCTGCTTTTGTGTCATGAAAGCTTGTGGCTTTTCCACACTGTTCTATCATGTGCAGGTGCTCGGAGGGGAACGTGATGTGTTGATCTGAATAAAGCAGCTGTGAAAAAGCCCTCGGATTCAAAATCACATGATTAATCTCATTGCACTCCTCCCTCAGTAAAAACACCAAACCATCCTGCTTAATAACAGGCCGTACGAGCCGAGTTTCAAAAGGAGCTACTGCGGTGAATACGAATTATTTACTCTATATTTCTCTATTATAAATTTAATTTCTATCTATATGTAGTCACTACATACATTCTCAAACACGGTTGTGTGTAGCCATTTTAACCCTGACATTCAGCATATATAGATGATTTTATATGGTCTCTTTTCATGTGTTAATTCTTTACTATAAGTCTATAAAAATATACAATCATTGGCTAATGAAGGGAGAGGAGGACTCCGTCTGCTAATTCAATTCTTTAGACTCCATGCAAACACGACCAAAAAAATTCAAGCATAGCATCCAAATCCATTATTTCCAACCTAAATCTCCTCGCCGAATGCAGATTGTCCATGAGACTTGAGAAATGAAAGGGGATTTCTAATGTTTCCGCTTGCAGCCTCAAATAATAGCGAGAATTAATGTGCATGACCAACTATTTAAAGTGAGCCCGTTCACCGGCGCACGGGTGCCGTGATAAAACGCCTTCACTGTGATGTCTGCCGAAGAAAGGACAAGGAGGGTGAGTGAATGAAAAGATAAAGGGTGAAAGAGAGAGAGCTGCTCTTGCGTATCATGCACCTTTCAGCTGAGCACAAGATATGCAAAATCATTTTCACGCCGAGATGCTTCTCTCCTCCGTCTGTATTTACACCTTCGCTCCCCGTCATCAGTGTTTCCTCAATGTTTCAAATGAAAACAACAACAACAAAAAAAATAGTTACTCAAAACGCTTGGCACACCAAAAGAATCCTCATGCAGAGATCATTGAAACCAACAGAAGAAAAACATCAAACCAAACTGACCCGCACAAGATTATTTCAAAATACTCAATACTCAAATGCACCCGATTTCAAGTATGACAGGTTTCTTCAATTTAAAGTTCTGTAACTTAATACACAACAGTGAATATATTTCTCTCTGTATCTTAGATTTTTTGTACAGCTGTAGTTCTGTAGGAAACTGTTGTACAGTCAGAAGTTATTGCATTGTTTTTGCATATCTTGTGGTATGCAAGCACATACGCATGCACTCGCGCACTCATCCTGCATATACTAACACAGACACGCTCGTTTCCGTACTCTGCATATGCTAAACACGGAGAAACTCGCACACGTACACAACCAAGGCCTCGAAATATGCCTGGGGCAGCCTCACAATGACATATGGCACGTGTGTGTAGGAGATATGAGGGTGTGTTGGCGGCTTTGGAACAGAGCAGGTGGGTTCTGGCTACATTTGTCACGTTTTTGTCACAAGCTTTGCATCATCCTCAGAGCAGAGACCTCCTGTAAACATTCAGGAACTCATTCAACCAACAAAAAAACGGCACAGGACTGGAGACTGAGATTGAAAGCGATGTTCGAGGCCTGGAACAAACCGCCAGGACGCTCGGTGAAGACAAAAATAATTATCTATTCATAAATGGAAAGAGAAATTCATATCGTCTGAAGTCGTGTGCAAAACGGTGACAGAACTTCTAACCCGGTCTAGTGTTGCACGAACAGAGAGACGCCTGGAAGTGGATTGGTCAGGTTTCTCATCAGCGCATGTGTTTAGGGGACGCCTTCCATCTCGCCAACACATTACCAACACAATGTTAACGCTTCAACACCTTATTTGCATAATAGATTGATAAGTAGTTCTCTGTGTGTCTGCCGAACTGCATGGAAACAGTGCTAAACCCAGCAGAAAAATATCCTTAACAATAATAGTAATAATAATCATAATAATAGCAATCAATAACATTGTATGATGATGACACTGCTGATGTTGGTACTTTCATAATGATGGTCATATATTTAGCCCTGTGTGAACTACATTAGAGTTTTTTTTTTTAAATGATGCGCTACCCAGACATCCCTGAATACTCCACCCTTCCTCTCCTCAAAGTGCACCTTTACTGACCTTCCGAAGATCTGCTGTTCCCTGTGTCGAGCAGGTGGGATCGTGACAGAATCGCAGCTGTCAGCTGAATGTTTCTGGAGATCAGCAGTGAAGAAACGTCAGTAGTTTCAGAGCAAACGTGAGTCCAATCCAACAGCAGCCATGAGAGCTGTCAGTGCTACCTGCGTCCAGGAGAGTGACAGCGCTCATTTACAGCTTGTGAGCTACCAATAAACCCCCGGCAGAACACGCTTCACCTCCGACAGGAATAAATAAATAAATAATTGTTTTGTGTCTGTAAGAGGCATTAGATCCACAACACTGCATCTGGCATAAACATCTTAAACGCCTTCAATAATAATAATAATAATTTAAGAAAAAAAAAACAGCATTCATCTGTTTGCAATACAAGATAAACAACATTACAAACACTAAATGCTGGAAAATAAAAAAAGGAAATAAAACCTGAAGCAGATCTGGAATAAAAGGCCACTGATGCAATGACCCGTACCTTGCACAGCTAGCAGCTACCTGAAAGCCATAACGGTACACGAGAAAGAGCAATTCAGGGAGTTCAGTCTTGCGCTGATTAAAAGAAAAGCTAACTAGAGAATTGTGGGTAGAAATCAAATTCAAAAAGCAGCACAAATCATCAACTGAACACAAAAGAAAGCCTTAAAGGAGAAGGATGACGTGAGGGCGCTTGCAGACGACACTTCTCCTGATGAACGGATGGATGGATGGACGGAGATCCTCCCACCGGCGGACAGATCCCACTGCTTGAGCAACGGCAGCGCATCTTTTCCCTTCAGTCCTTGCTCGGTCAGGGTTTCGTTTCCTTACTGCAATCAAGGTTGTGAGAACTGTGAGGCACTTTAGAAACACGCACACACAAACATGTACACACGCCTACTCGCTCGTGCTCTCGCAAACACACGGACGAACTAAAAACCAACTCAGTCTCAGCTAAGCAGAATGGCCTTATACCCCTACAGTAGGTACTCGCAACAGACAGGTCAGACTGCAGGACAGCAGTGTCCTCAGAGAGAGCTGGGCTAAGACACAGGAAGTCCTCCGTGCTGCTGCTGTCCCCCCTACAAACTGGTCACACACTCCATGTCCTCGTCCTCCATCAGAGTGCTGTTCCCCTCGGAGCACTCTAACTCCACCCCCAGCAGCTCATCGGAGCCCGTGGCGGTCGAGAGGCCCAGCGTGTGGCTGCAACGGGACTCCTGGGAGCCAGTGTCTCTGCACTGTATGAAGGGCCGCAGGTTTCCGTTGGCGTTGGGCGGCGCGTTGGCGTTGAGAATGTTGTCGGCAGCGTTCTCCATCTCCTCAATGGTCATGTCGCAGGCGTCCGCTAGTTCCTGCTTTGCTACCTGGATGAAGGAGGGATCCTGTGCATAGCGACCCAAACCCTCGGATATCAACACCTGAGCAAAGAACGAATGAGAACTTTTCAACACTTAATACTCTTAAAATGAAAGGCTCATTAAGAGTGTTTTTGCAGCGAAGCCATAGAAGAACCATTTCTGCAGTGAAGAAAACCATTCTTTTCTTAGTGCAAGGAACATTTTGATAATCTAAATAAACTCTTTACTCCATAGAAGCTTTTGTGCAATGGAAAAGTTCTATGTATTATTTTCTTGTGTGGTGTAGGTGAATATGGTTACAAAAATGTAACTAATAAATATCACAAATACTTTCAACACTTGATTAATCACAGTCATCATTTCCAGAACAGAAATCTGGACATTTGGATAAATTTATGAAATTAAATCATTTCATTTTTTGATGACTTATTAGAGTTAAATGTTTTTACAGAGGGGATTTTGGATATCCTTTTTTATCCCTCCATAAGCCAGAAAATACTGTAAACAGCCAGAAAAAAATCACCATATTTAAGAATAACTTGTTATATAAGTCAGGCGAATGTTATATGAACAAACCCATCTCTAAAAACCTTCAGAATATATATAGGAATAAAACTGTTAAGTCTGGTGTATGTAAGAGCTACTGACATGAAAATTGCTGGCTCAGTGCATAAGAAAAAATTTTCTCTCCTTTGAGAAAACGGCAAGACGCAAATAGACAAAGTGTAATAAAATAAACACCTAAATACGTCTTTTGGATGTTTTCTATCCACTAGTCTGAAAGATGACAAGTTTTGCATGCAAAATATCCCTAAATCTAAAAAATGATCAGTGCAATGGTTTTGTCTCAGGGGTCTCAGGGGTGTCAGACTCAATTCCTGGAGGGCCAGAGCCCTGCAGAGTTTTGTTCCAACCCTGCTCCAACACACATAACATGTAGTTTTTAAATAAGCCTGAAGGACTTGATTAGTTGAATCAGGTGTATTTAATTAGGGTTGAATCTAAACTCTGCAGGGCTCCGGCCCTCCAGGAATTGAGTTTGACACCCCTGTTGTAGTGTCTTGCTTAAAGAGAGAGAAAATGCAGCTTACCGCCTCCACAAGGCTGCCGGCGCTCCCATGAGCCAGGGATATAGAGTCTCTGCGTGTGACCGGAGGAACCGTGAGGGACACGGGTCGCTGCGTCCTCTGCACGCTCCGGCTGTGGTTGCCGTTACTGTCACTGTACCACGAGCTGCAGTTCACAGATGGCATGCTGCTGTTGAGTTTCTCGTAAGATCCGCTGCCCTCCAACCGCAGAGACGGAACGGGCTGGTAGCACGGCCCTCCCCCGCCGCGGCCGCTGGGACTCGCAGGAGGTGTGGAGCACAGTGTGTGTGTGTGTGTGAGTGCGCACACATAAGTTTACCTGATGATGCACTAGATGCAGTGGTAGTGCTGTTTTCTGTGAAACATCAGGTCTGTTATGTTTTCTCAGACACTCCAAGTGAAAGGAAGATCGTCGACCTGTGTTGAAAAGTAAATATGCAGTTGACTTCAACGTCACATTTGAAGCGAAACTAATGATTGTACTGATCTGTATTAACTGTAATGAATGTGTGAGTATGTACCCAGTGCAGTGGGGCAGAGAAAGGCCCGTCGCCGTGGAGACTGCCACGGCCTCCTCTCCTCCCCTACATCCGCCTCCTCCATGGGAGCCAATTGCTTGCTCTCTTCATCCTGAAATTCCATCCTGCATCCCGCAAACACACATTCAGAACATTAAAATATAATTCTATCTAGGAGCCAGAAGACTGTCAAGTTTGGGTCAAAATGTATCCCCCAAAAAGAAAAAGAAATTATATTTTACAAAGGTTGAAAAGATTTAGTTTGAAAGCTGTCTCTTATGCTCACTAAGACTGCATTTATTTGATCAAAAATACAGTAAAACAGCAATATTGTCACATATTATTACGATTTAAAATGAGTCTTTTCAATCATATGTTTTCAAAATGTAATTTATTCCTGTGATGGCAAAGCCAATATTCCGAGCTGCTGCTCAAGAAACATTTCTTAATATTATCAATGTTGAAAACATTGTGCTGCTAATTTAAAAAAAAATTTTTTTGTATATGATTAATTGAAAGTTACATTTTCCAAAATGTATTTGAAATAGAAATCATTTGTAGCATTATAAATGTCACTTTTGATTAATTTAATGCATTTTTTGCTGAATAAAAGTATTAATTTCTTTCAAAAAAAATCTTCTGACCCCAAATTTATATATAATCAAATCAAATCAAATGAATTCTATTTTTGGGACCATTATGACCACTGTTTGGAAGCCACTATTAATATTAGGGGGTGAGGGGGTCAGATTCAGCATCTTCTAGTAAGCCATTTTGCCAATTTATAGAAAGCAAATAAGCTACTATAGGTCATGCATTAAACTATCTCACGCCCTCCTGTGGTTTATTGTTGTATTAAATATTCTGATATGAATGAAAACAAGAATGAAGTATTACATGTCCATCGAGAGCATGGTCTGATCTCTCTCATCTAGAAATGTTTCATCGTACGTCTCATCTGTAGATGCTTCCTCTCGCCGTATTATAGGGAGACGGCTGTCACTGGAATCAGAGCTACACGAAACATCAAAACACACAGGTGAACTAGAAGGCCGCTGGGACTCGCAGGAGGTGTGGAACACAGACGCGTGAACAGTGTCGGAGAATGACTCCGTCTCAGCAAGGGACTCAACCCTGCCACAGCCAGAGCCTTTGAAAACCAGAAGATGAATAAGTGAAAAGGACAAAAAGAACAAACTTTGTCAAGCACGTGTGTGTCTGATCTCTCTCATCTAGAAATGTTTCATCGTACGTCTCATCTGTAGATGCTTCCTCTCGCCGTATTATAGGGAGACGGCTGTCACTGGAATCAGAGCTACACGAAACATCAAAACACACAGGTGAACTAGAAGCATATTGCACATCTTCATCATCTGCTCTTTAGAAGGCTTCAGAAAGTGAGGAAAGGTCACCTATACAGATAACAGCGGTTACTCTCTCCTCAAGCTCTCATAAGGCTATTATAATGTGAACACAATCAATTATAGCAGCTTAAGGTTTGATGACGTCTAACAAACCTTACAGCACAGGTTTAACTGGTTGTGTCACATTACAGAAGCACTGTTATATTTTTGCAGAGAAACCTTATGATATTAGATTTAAGAGGAGAAAAGATTTGTCAAGGGGCACTTCATAAAGACTGGAGCTCCTCTAACAGAAATAAGTGCATATCCTGTTCTTAGGATTGTGCTGCATCTGTTAGCACAAAAATGGATGTAGTACATCCAGTTTAATAGCAGTCAGAGCTGCTTGTGAAATTGATGCTTTTGTATTTGGGTCTAAATGAAGAGCCCCTCCAGTACAGCCTGGAAATGACCAGCAGGATGAGCTTCACCACAAACAAGCACATGGACTAGCAGAGCAGTTCTTAACTGGTGAGACTGAGGTCTGTTCTAATAGCAGGGGAGAATAAGTGAAAAACTATATGAAAACTAATACAACTAACCATTTGAACATGCTTAGTTATGATGAACAGGCTACAACTTCACATTATAAAATAAAAAGGCTCATTCCATTTGTTTTTGTTGATGTCAAAAGGCCTGCATTCCATCAAACTCTACAGGATTTTGCTACAAATGAATCTGTCAGTAGTGTTCCTTTAGTATTACTTCTATACTACTACTGTGTTTATTAATATTTTTAATTCGCTTTTTATATTTTCATTTTAAGTAATTTAGTAATTGTATGTGCTTTTATCATTTTTTTGTTCATTTTGCCACAAATTAATCTGTCAGTATTGTTATTTTAGTATTATTTATATATTATTATACATATATACTATTATATATTATAGTATTGATTAATATTTTGAATTAGCTTTTTATATTTTCAATTTTCATTTTAATTTAGATTTTTAATTTTTAGCTTAAATTTAAGTGTAATTTGTGTTTTTGACTTATTTATTAGTTTGTTTATTTTTATAGCTTAATTTGTTATTTCAGTTTTAATCATTTTAGCACTTAAAATAGAACGTGTTTTATTTCAGTTATTTATCAAGTTAAGCTATATGTTATTTCTGCTTTATTTCAATTAATAAAAATTATTTTAAAGTTTTAATTTACAATAATAACACTGTCTGTCTGAGTTCTTTGTAGAAACGCCCAGATTAGGTAGATGCCAACATAAATGTGTTGTTTCACATGCCTTTATCATCAAGAATAACATGAACAAATCTTCAAAAAAATGATTTGTTGCTGAGAACGTAAAATCTGGGTTCTGACAGTAAAACCAGTTAAGAACCACTGGCCTAGCACATGCTCATTTAGCTGTCAGCCAATCAGGAAAGCCGCTCACAGATCCTGCTAGTTAATGCTAGAGTGGATCTGTGTGTGTTGCACACATTTAGCTTCAGATCCACCCCAGTATGGACAGAGCATACGACAGCCCTCCAAAGTGATGAGGTCTCTTTTGGTCTTTGTGTGAGGAACGTACCACATGAAAGTGTCATAGAAACAGCTCCTGGTCCACATGAGACAATCAGGGGCGAGACAAACCACAATCAGGAACCAGATTCTGACAAACCTGAACATCTCCCTACTAACTCGCACATTTGCATTCCACTACAGAAAGCATATGTCATCATACCTCTTGTTAGGAAAGCACCATGTGGGCCGTGGTAGTGGGACGGTGGTGAGGGGCGGCCCCGTGTGTCCGTCCACTGTGCTGACGGTAGGTTTGGGGTACCGGTGTCCGATGGCTGTGTTGTTGGCGTTGTTAATGTTTGCGTTGGATCCTGAGGAAGAATAACTGCTCGGAGTGAAGGTGGAGTCGACGAGCTTCTGATGAGACGGAGATTCTGCTTCGCCGGGACTCCCGGATTTACTGATGTGCAACGGCCGCTGTGTTGTGAAGGACTGTGGGAAGGAGGCGTGGCCGTCACTCTGGTGGTAGTAGTTGACGTGGTTACCGAAGAGACCGCCAGACCGCTGCAAAGACAAATGTACGCATGAAAGTGATCACATTTACGCAAACCTCATCATCCCTCCCCCTTCACACCTGCTATTAACAACTCCAGTGATTTTTCAGTAGATTTCAATGACTACGTACATGTCTTTCACATGTACATGTTTGCCTGGGCATTTTCTTATGATACAGAAGCCCTAAGCATTAAGGACATATTCCATCTCTTTTTCAGCTGTATTTAGTGTCTATTAGTGATCGAATGTTAATACCAAGGTAAATGGGCCAAATGTGACCCTGGAGCACAAAACCAGTCTTAAGTCGCTGGGATATATTTGTAGCAATAGCCAAAAACACATTGTATGGGTCAAAATGATCATTTTTTCTTTTATGCCAAAAATCATTAGGATATTAAGCAAAGATCATGTTCCATGAAAATATTTTGTAAATTTCCTACCGTAAATATATCAAAACTTAATTTTTGATTAGTAATATGCATTGCTAAGAACTTCATTTGGACAACTTTAAAGGCGATTTTCTCAGTATTTTGATTTTTTTTGCACCCTCAGATTCCAGATTTTCAAATAGTTGTATCTCGGCCAAATATTGTCCTATCATAACAAACCTTACATCAATGGAAAGCTTATTTATTCAGCTTTCAGATGATGTATAAATCCCAATTTCAAAAAAATTGACCCGTATGACTGGTTTTGTGGTCCAGGGTCACAAATGAACATACTGTTTTAGGGTTTTCTAAACTATCTATAAATGTATTTTAACATCACTGATGACTAATTCTTAATAGAGCTATTTGGATTTTCCTTTAACACTCATTTATAACCATCTGATCTGTGTGATGAGGGCAAAGCGCTGTTCCTTAATGATTTCTGATACTTTTACTTGACAAGCTTATGCAATTTGACACATTTATGAACTTAATATGAACATAATGATTTTGTTGTCCTAATAACAAATGAAAAAAATTATTCTAAGCCCTCAATGTTGAGCAAAGAATCTAAACAAGCAGCTCTGTGACCCTTCGCAGCCCGGTTGGTTTGAAGATCTGGCTGATGGTCCCATGCAGGTGGGCAGAAGCTCCGGCAGCAGAAGCGATGATGTGAGAAGAGCGGAGGAGAGGAAACAAGAGGCAATATCAGACCTTTACCCTGAAGATATCATCCTCAGATGCAGAACACACGGTTTCCTTCATGGCTCTCTCCAGCTCCTCCTCCACAGTCAGGTCTCCTGATATCGCTCTTCTGATCTCAGGACCCATATCATGCAGTGTACGCAGGCCAGCCTGGTCACAACACACACAAATAGGCACATTCATATGCAAACAAAACACACTTTTCTGTTATAGCTGATGGTCTTATGTACCCACCTGCAGTGAAAGAGCAGTCTTTGGAGGAATTTTGGACACCAGGCCCTGTTCCTTGCGCTTCTTAAATTTCCTGAAGTATTCCTGAATCAGGAATGTGGCATAGAACTTCCCCACTGTTACTTCATCATCTGTCGGGGAAGGAAACACACACTCAGGTTTTGTTCGTTGTGCTGGTTAGACGTTATATTGCTTCCTGCATTGTTATTTTAGTTCATAAATATATTGTTTCAGACTTTTAAGATAAACTTGACAGCTTCTTGAAGTGTTGGGATAGGAGAAGAGAACTTGAACACCTTTGTTTTGTTTTCACTACACAAGTTTGGGGTCAGTGCTTTTTTTTTAAAGAAATTAACACTTTTATTCAACAGTTATGCTGAAAGAGTGACAGAGTACATTGTTAGAAAAGATTTCTGTTCTTTTGAATTCATCAAAGTATCCTAACATTTTTAAAAAGTGTCAGTTTTTCACAAAAAATATTAAGCACAACTGTTTTCAATAATGATAATAATAAGAAATGCTTCTTAAACACAAAATCAGCATATTAGAATGATTTCTAAAGGATCATGTGACTAGTAATGCCTGCTGAAAATTCAGCTTTGCAATCACAGGAATAAATTACATTTTAAAATATTAAAAGAGGAAACATTTATTTTAAATTGTATTAATATTTCACAATATTACTGTTTTTACTGTACATTTGACCAAATAAATGCAGTCTTGGTCAGAACAAGAGACTTCTTTCAAAAACACTTGAAAACAAAAATCTTATCGACCCCCTAACCTAATGGTTGACCTTTGACCTTTTGCCACCACCCACCTCCAGCAGGGGGAACGACTTGATCCAGCAGCTTCATGCTCGTCCTCTTCCAGATCTTCTTCACGATGGCCCGGAGTTCCTCATTTGCTTGCTCCAGGTTACCTGACGCACACAAATACAAACAGTGACTTTTCTGTGCATGTATGTTGGCATGTGAATTGGTTTTATGCATATTTATGTGTATGATATTTTCACACCTTCAGTTTTGATGCGTAGAGCCGTTCGTACCAGAGCAAAGAGAGTTGCGTTGAACATCACCGTCCCGTCACTATTGAGAGGCATGTTCATGGACACAAGCCGCTGCAGATGCACAGATAAAGTCAGTCAAGTAATGTGTATAACGCACTACAGAATTAGCACATTTTAGGATTTGTGTTTGTACCTTGCACGCCACTCTATGTGGACAAAGCTTTCCAAATCCAAGGGGAGGCTGAATCCTGCGCAGCAACGTCACCACATCCAGGTGCTTTATCCGACCCCTGCAATCACATTAAACTCAGATCTCAGTTTCAGTCACTACTAATAATCTAGAATGGGATAGAGCAGATGTGTGAAAGATGGCAAAACATGAAGTGACTGACTTGGCCTCAGGATCGTATTCTGCCCATATCCTCTTAAACTCATCTAGGTGATGCGGCCCCAATATCGACCAATCACGTGTTAAATAGTCAAAGTTGTCCATGATGACGGCCACAAAGAGGTTAATGATCTGTGGGAGAGGAAGGATCTGAATCATCTTGTGCTAAGGAAACCCGCTGCTTCTGTTATTATGGATACGGTAAACATTGTGCGGAGGGGGTAAAGGATGTCATGCTGGTGGAGATGATTTCACAACAAATTTCACAGCTGATTTACAATAACACAGTTGCTTACTGGGAACTCACCAGGAAGGCGCAAAGCATATAAAAGCTAACAAAGTAGATGATGGCAAAGTGGCTGCCACAGTCTTCACTGTTGTGGTTGACCTCTGACCCCTTCTCACACGGGCGGTTCGGAGAACAGGCCAGCATGATTTCCTGCCACGCCTCCCCTGTTGCACACCTACAGAAATACACGAGCTCAATGTGAGAGAGAGACATTAAACGAGTGAAAGCGAGAGAGAGAAAGCAAGTGGGAAACTGACCTGAAGAGCAGCAGAACAGCCTGAGGAAACGTCTGAAAGTTGTTGTTTCGGTTGATCTGGCTGTTGTCCCTCAGGGCAATCTTACCGAACATCTGTGGAATCCGAAAAAACATTATCCATCATGAATCGCTCAACGCCAACATGTCCAAGTACAAGCACAGGGGCTATAGCAGCCATGGAGACATTTCCATGGGGAAGATGTGGAGAGAGTGTGAAGCAAATGAAGCTGGGTCTGACCTGCATCCCAATGACGGCGTAGATGAAGAACAGCATTACGATCAGCAAAGCAACATAGGGAAGAGCCTGTGAACAAACCGAGGGAGGTGGAGAAGGGAAAAGAGGAATGATTAAATATACACAACGAACACAAAATGCAGGAATATAAATGTTTCATTTCAACAGCCACTTTTAGTTGCGTTTCACTCTTAACCCGAATGACCTATAGTCAAATAACAATTTTAAAAAAAAATTTTATAGCAACAACAGTGTATATGTATAGTTAGAAATAAGAGATTTTTTTAAAGTAAAATATGTTATTAAATAAAATAATTAAAAAATATTTCTTAGATATAAAATTGTATTTAAATATATGATGAAATTCAATGCACGCATATGATTAATGCATGCATATGTTTTTTTTTTGTAAAATACCAAGTTTGGGGTTGATTTTTTGAAAGTCTCAGCAAGGCTGCATTTATTTGATCAAAAATACAGGAAAACAGTAATATTGTGAAATATTATTACACTTTAAAATAAGTTTATTTTAATACATATTAAAATCTAATTCATTCGTGTGATGGCAAAGCTGTCATTACTCCTTCAGAAATCATTCTAATATGCTCATTTGGTGCTCAAGAAACATTTCTGATTATTATCAATGTTGAAAACCCTTAATACTTTTGTAGAAACTGACATGCATTTTTAGGATTCTTTGATGAATATAAAATACAAAAAATTGGATTTATTTAATAATAAAAATATTTTATAACATTATTTACTATCACTTTTGATCATTTTAATGCATTTAAATGCATTGCTGAATAAAACAATATTATAATAGTTTTTTTTTTACCGACCCCAAACTTTTGTACATTTGATCATTTTATTTCAGATAAACAGGATAAAAAAGCGGCAGGACATCAATTGACTAGAGCATGCCGTGTAGATGGTTTTGTTGATTATAATGCAAACAATCAGGTTTTATTGTCACAACATGCTGCTTGCATCTAGTGTAGCCATATAATAACACAAACGTGTTTGTTAGTCTGTTATTAGATTGTCTGCTGGTGTTTAATTGCTCACAAAGCCTGACTTTGACTTGGGCATAAAGTCTGGACCACAGTACAACCATCTCTGTACAATTACACAAGTGCTGTCTAATTTTTATTCTCCTCACCTGAAAGGATTTAATGAAGGTCCAGAGCAGCGTCCGAATGCCCTCTCCCCGAGACAGGAGCTTCACCAGCCTCATCACACGGAACAGCCGAAAGAACGTGATTGAGATCCTGGCGTTATCTTCAGTGTTTTGGAGGCCCTTTTTCAGCATGACAAACACACACATATGCGTGTTCATGGAGAGGCACACACACGCACATATTGTACACCAACCAGAACAATTCAAGATGACACACACACACACAATCAAGTTAATATGTCTACAACAGCATGTTAAACACTTCCACCAATAGCAAACTACAGAGACACAGAGGATGTCTGGTGGCTTTATGAAACAATGACAATATTCCAAATGGATGCAAAGCATTTATAGATGTCTACCACAATACACAACACCCCTGAAGTAACAATCTTTCCAGCTAATCATATATACTTAATAAATACCCTATAGAACTAATCTGTCATTGAAGCATTTAACACTATATTTCACAGGTGATATTAGAATCTGTGTATGTGTCACATACACAGACACTAAACCACATATGTTTCCAGATGTTATGCTTTGGTAAATTATAATTATGACATTAAACGTCATTATGAGATACAAAGTCCAAATTATGACAAAAAAAAACGAAATTATGATAGTAAGTCAATTATGAGATAAAAAGTCAATTATGACAAGTTGAAATTATGAGATAAGTCAATTGTGAAATAAGTCGACATTGACAAAGTCTATAATGTCTATAGTCTTATAGACTATAGTCTATAATGTCTATAATTGACTAATGTCTACAAAGACTATAATGACTATAAGGCCATAATTGTGACTTATCTCATAACTGACTTAGTATGTCAATTTAGACTTTTTAATGCATAACTTAGTATGTCATATTTTTTTATCTTAGTTTTTATCTCATAATGACCTCCTATCTTATAATTTTGTCAAAATTATGATTTACCAAAGCATTATTGTTTTCTTATGTGGCAGAAATGGGCTAATCCATTTGTTCGCGCTTCTTTAAAATCTGATATTTTACTTCAGTTATATAATCTAAACATATACACAAAGCTGCGGCTTTCTGTTTCAAAGGTGCACTCAGTCGTTTTTTTCCCCTCATTAAAAAGTTTCTACACATAGAATTGTATTGTACTGTATTGTAATAAATTGTAGTTTTTTTTAAATCATCACTTATCTAAAATGAACTCAGCAGTCATATCAGTCACCCAAAAGCAGTTTTGTTTTACACGGAGAGGGTCACCTCATGGGAGCCGCCATTTTGAGATCACATGACTAACCAAATACTATTGGTTTTATCTTGGCAAGACCCCTGTTATCCTAAACTTCCGCTTGTGGAATAAATTCTGCGAATTGAGCATTTCTATAATGGCATCGGTAAATGTTTTTCTTTGGTAAGGCACTGCATCCACACCACTAGGTGTCAGTATAAGCACAACATGAAAAAAAATGACTCAGTGCACCTTTAAATCTCTAACACCTACATCTGCACACACATGCCCTATAAAAACACATCACACAAACCAAGCAAAACTGAGAATTAGCTTCATGCATGTGGACATCGCACAGGAAATCGTATTTTCACAAGCCCCAGCTGATTTCAGAGCTCTGCCACGTTGGTGGTGAACTGTCACACCAGAGCTGACCAGCAGAGGCCGACACTGGACTACACACAGAGAGAGCGATGACCATGTGACTACAGCGCACCAATGACAGGCATCGCAGCCTAGGGGAGGGGAGAGGTCGAGGCGATGGACACACTACCAGCATATACACGTGCCTGCCCAATGCCACAATGATGAGAGAGAACACATGCGTTCATGCCGAAGTCACATGGTGAATGACAGGTGTTGATGGACAGGTCGACAAGGTGACTGGGTGGAATGAGAGGTGGGGTTTTGGTTACCGTTGGTCCGTACCATTGGTCTTACCACAGAGGAGGGGGGAGAGGAGGAGGGGTCAGCTGGCTTTAAAGAAAGGCAGACAGATGAAAGCTATAGCAGCGCCAACCACCCACTGTACACCTGTGTGTGTTTGTGTGGGAATATGTGTGGTAAAGTGTCCGTCAGTGTGTTGGATCTTTTGCAGGGGAGACGCCTCATAGCATGTCTGTCTTTCTGCCAGCTGAGGGCGCTACAGCACATGGTCTGTTTGAGGAGGAGCCATATGCTGTTCTGCAGCCGCAGACTGGAGGATGAGTTGGTGACACACGCAGACACATGCACAGATTCGACATCTCTCATGAGCCGAGTCGAGAATCTCTCAGCAGGTCTATCACGGTGTGTGTGTTGCAGTGAGTGAGTGTACGTGTGAATGTATGTAGGTGTGTGTTGAATTTCTACATGCAGAGAGACTGATTTCTAAATCCTCTGCAGTGCCACGATAGACTAAAATGTCTGTCTTTATGTTTCATGCTTTTAGTGGCGATGACAACTAGATTGATTAAATTATGTCTTTGCAGTAGAACTGCAGAGGATCTGGCAACCCCAACCATGCATGTAGCACACACATTACAGAACTGGGTCAACGGTATTACTCGTTCCAAATGTGCATCTGTGAGACAGTTACCATGATAAAATCTCCACACAGAGCCACTTTCAAAGGGTCGCTCCATATCACAGATATTATCTCACATTGCACAAATATAGAGATTTGGCACACACTGGTAAACGCTGCCCCCTGGAGGTTACAATCATGTCCATCGGCTGGCTGACGCTCAGCGAGAACTTCAGTTGTTAGGCGAGTCTCATGAAAATAAAGGTCTGGGTCATATTTCACCTGAACTCAAACTTAAAACTAAGAAATTGTATTTTGTATTAGACTGCGAGAGCCTGTTTTAGGACCAGTAACATTTCTTGCACTGTTGGGTTTAAATGTGCTAGATTATAATGAAAATAATATATTTTAATGACAATTAAGCACACATAAGCCCACTTCCTCTAATTATGAGTAGCCTACTGCAATTAAAAAAATATATCCTACAAATAAATAAAGTAAATTATTAACTATTATTATTATTAACAATAACAACAATAATAACAGATATTATATTACATTATATAAATGAGAGTTTATTTAGGAGTATTAAGATGTCTTGGATTGTAGGCTTTAAATGTGCTTAATTGTCATTAAAACTATAATAATTTTTTATGACAATTAAGCAAATTTAAACTCACTTCCCCACCTATGAGTAACCTACTGTAAATTTAAAAAATCCAATAAATAAATAAATGAATATTCAAATATTTTAAAATGTATTCTAAATAAATTATTTAATATTTAATGTAAAAATATAAATCATTTGCACTGTATTTCATGTAAATCATTCTGTTTTGCCAACATGATTTTCATTACAGTATTACGTGTGCTGATTTTCTTAAGGTTTTTTTTTATGAAATTTATTATTTTTTTAATATGAACAAATATGCAAATATTTTTTCATACAAAACATCATTTCATGAGATCACCCTGTCAGTCAATAGAAGTTATTTGAATACATCATATTCATAACTGGCTTAGCCAATTAAGTTCAGTGGTTATGGTCCTATCAGACGGTGAACAGCTAATGACACAGGGAGCAGGCCTACCAAGAATAATGTGTGGGTGTAAGAAAGAAAGAGAGAAGAGACAGAGGAAAAACACTGAAAAAAGGGAGGAAAATGCAGAACATAGAGACAGAAAAGAGGCATTCTAGAGAAGGATGCAATGTGGCATCGTCAGCAAGACAGAGCTGGCAAACACTCCCATCTCTCCACCCCCCGCTTCTGTCCAATTAGACACCGCGAATCAGAGAGTGCCTCCAACAGGCAGGGAGGACAAAGCACTGAGAGGAGCAGAGCAGCCTCAGGGGGAGGAGGGGTGACATTAACACTTTTCTAAGGGACAACAGAGTCGTCCGGTTCCACTCTAATCTCCTTGTAGCACTGAGAGGAGGGACTGGCTATCAGCACGGATTCATCAGTTTAATTTCAGATCACTAATCAGATTAATTAACAGGTTAATGAAGCATGAGAAAAAAGTGCTCAGAGTTTTCTCAAAGGAAAGAAGAGGGGAAAAAAAAAAAATCCAAACACAATGCTGGGTCAAAGGTCATGCCTTCAGATCAAATCAGATGCTGGATGAAGAGAAAACTCCAACCAAATCAAACCCAGTCAGTGCTGAAATGGATGTGTATAGCAAAACAGGGGGTATATCTCCAGCACAACTGCTGTCAATCATAAATAACCTTCATTAACACATTTTGATCTCTTAAACTCCTTAAGTTGTTAAAAATTAAAACTTACATAGAGCTGTAGTCTTGTATTTAAACTTTTTCTAATAAAGAGTAACAAATAAAACTGAAAATCCAAAATACACCATTCAAAAGTTTGGGGGCAGTCAGGTTTCTTTCTTTCTCCAGAAAAATGTTAGGCAGCTCAACTGCTTCTGAGATTAATTTAAAAAAAATGTTACTTGACCAGCAAATCATCCTGGAATGTTTTCCGCAAAAACCTTAATTTCTTTGCGACTGAAGACAGAAAGACATGGACGACATCTTGGATGACATGGGGGTGAGTAAATAAATTATCAGGAAATAATTTTTATTCTGGAAGTGAACTAAGAGTAACAAGTAACAAGTGTCACTTCCTGTTGCCAGCAGGTGGCACTATGACTATAACTGAATATGGGCATGGATGTGTTCAGGACAGAACTCTTATCAAATGTGTGAAGTTTGAGGCAGATTGGACATTGTTTGCCTGAGTTACAGCAACTTCCTGCTTCATGGTGAAAAATTGAAATTTGTCAGGCTGCCAGGGACCCACCCTACAATGAAAACTCAAGATCTTCACAATTTAGCATCTCAAAACCCTTATAATTACTTTCACCAAATCTGAAGATGATCCAAAGATGAAAATGGCAAAAACGGCACAAAAAAAATCATAGAGGAAATTCAAAATGGCAGACTTCCTGTTGCATTTAGGACTTCGTTCCAAGAGACTTTTTTGTAGGTATTGGGACATCACATGAATGTACTGAATTTCGTACACATATGTGAAATGTAGCAGGAGGGGCACTTCGTTGAAATTTTATCGGTGACGCTATCGAGCCATTTTGCCATGCCCAACTCTGAAACCCATATCAGATGTAAATTTTCACCAGTGCTGATGTCTGTGCAAAGTTTCGTGAATTTTCGAGCATGTTTGGGCCCTCAAAAATGCGATTCACTTTGGAGAAGAAGAAGAAGGAGGAGCAATTCCAATAGGGTCCTCGCACCATTGGTGCTTGGGCCCTAAATATTCAAATAGAAAACAGTTACTTTAAATTGTAATAATATTTCAAAATATTACAGTTTTTACTGTATTTTTTTATCAAATAAATATAGCATTGGTGTGCATAAGAGTCTTGTTTCATAAACACAAACATTTTTTTTACTGACACTAAACTTTTGAATGATAGTTTTGAATAGTACCTGCACATCAAAACAAAGTGGCAAAGTCACGTCTGCCACATATTAACTAAAGATCTAAAAATGAATCTAAATATGCATTTTCACAGCATGCATAATGCACAGATGCACTATTTTGACACATCCCATTTTTTACAAGATTAATCAAATTTATATTTGCTACATTTTACAAGAGATGATTTCTGGTTAAACCCAGCCAATCTAGCTGATATGTAACAAGTTTAAGAAATATTTTGACCTCATATGCGCTATTGCTGTTTACAAACATACAAGCCCATACCAGATCAAATTGGTTGACAATCTAAATGAGGCCTATAAAGCTGAAGAAAAGTGAATATTATATTACGAAAGTGGATACAAAACCTTGAAATGAGCAGCAATATGAAATACAAGTTTCCTCAGATGAAAATCTGGGCTCTTCTTTCAAAATGAGTTTGAAGGTTTATGAATTGATTCAACAGTAAAGAAACATTTATATAAGCATTGAATGAATTACAGGGCACATCGATAAGATTGACCATCCATCTTAATGTAACAATTTCCAAATCAGTTTATCAGTCTATATTGATTGTGAAGCTGTAATATATCACCTGAGTGCTATACAAGGACATTCATGCCTATGTGTGAGGGTGGAGGGTTAAAGCAACTCATCTTTGTTAGTGTGGGAGGGTTAGGGGGTGCAGGCAGGCAGATTGAGAGAGAGAGATTACTTACGTTAACCTCTGTGATGGCTATATCAACAACACTACCCACTACAATAAGGGCATCAAACGTGTTCCATGCATCAACAAAATAATGCTGGACAGAAAACAACAAAACAACAAATAAAAAAGAAATGAAAAAGGAAAGAAAAGGAGAGAGGAGAAAATAAGGAAGAAAACAGTTACACATGAACAATTAACTCACAGAAGACATGAGGAAAAAATCATAAAATCAAATGACGGGTGTGAGGAAATCAAAACGAAATCAGAGAATCCCATGATGAACCGGGACCTGTCATGCTCTACAGCAGCAGTCAAACATCCATCAAAACCATCCTGAAAAGAACGGCCAGGGGTTCTGGGTTAGTTCAGGTGTGATTGTTAGTTACAGCAAAACAACATACATCGCGGCCTGGAGGATGAAAAGAAACGTTGGCTCTCTCTCTTTCACGGGGCCTACCGAAAAACTCTCCTATACAAACACTTTTTCTCCTGCACGTGTGCCCTAAATAAACCTCTCACCGCCACAGGGCGACCTGCCACAGCAGCCATCTTGCCGTCAGAACAGGAAATGAAGAGTTGGAGGAGACAGCAGGAGCAGAGAATGGCAGGAAGCACAGGGGGAATGAAAGACAGCAGAGATGGACAGGAGAGCAAAAGAGTTGGGAAAAGAGAGAGAGAGGTGGCGATGTACTTACGTTGATCTCACTCAGAATGACGTCTATAATGCTGCCAATTACGATGAGGAAGTCAAAAACATTCCAGGGGTCACTAAAGTAACCCTACACAGGACGAGGGGAAGGTGGGGGTGAGGGGTGAGAGAGGGCAGTTAGAGAGGCAGAATTGACCATCACTAGCGCTGCCGTACCCATGATGCATGAGCACAGTCAACCGACAACGCATTTCGTTAGCCAATCACCATTCAGCACAACAAAATCAGCCCATCTATAGACTTTCAGGAAATGACTGATTAAAGAAGTCCATTACCACAAGAAAACGCTCTTTGATTTTTGGTGATGCTCTCGTTTACAAGGAATAGATGGTTTTTTTGGGGCTCTATGGGAAGTCGCTTCACCCTGTGAGGAATTCTGAGCGGATGGCATCTCTACTGACACCATCTTTACAATATCTGATTTGTGCTTAATAGGGCAGGAAAACCTTTAATGGACTGGAAATGGCTGCCAAGTTATGCGAGAAATAAAACTCTTTAAACACTGATGGAATTACGTCTTAAGGCAGGCGATGAAACTCATTTCTGAAGAAGAGCGAGAGAGAGACTGTCATTTTACGTTACATTCATTTCAGTCCTCATCTGGGACAAAACTAGTGACTGTAGTAAAACATTTCAGGTCAAAGACATATAGGTTAAATAAGTGAGATGTGACATTTCTGAAGATAGGCAGAGTGTTATCCACTGTAAACTGTGCATTTGATGACACAAACAAAAACAGAAAACATCTAGCCTGGAGAACAGCGGTAATAACTGGTTGTTAAACAGCACACGGCTGAAAAAAAAAACACTTCAAAGCACTGTTAATAAAGTTCTGTATAATGAATGCTGGGTAAGATTGGGACATCAATTTTAAGAATAGCTTATAGTCTAATCATCTCAAATCAGATTTTTTTTTTAAATAATAAAATACAATTTCTTTTTAAAGACTTAATCTTTAGAAGTTCCTGGACACAAGTCTAATAATAAATCTAGATTCACTGTTTAATAGAACGCTTTGGCATGAAAATCAGCTTTGCTCATATAATACTGTACATTGAAACATGCAGGGCCTACCCTGGGTTTGAAGGCGATGAGTTTGAGGATCATTTCCACAGTGAATAGGCCGGTGAACAACATATTGAGGATATTCATGGCTTTGCTGAATGACTGAGATTGGCCATGATGCTGCAAACACATAATCGAACAGATTTTAAAAAAAAAGATTCGATTTGTGTATTTGACTCTATGCATTAGTTCAGTTACTGAGCATACTGACCTGCATGGCCAGGCAGATGGTGTTGAGAAGAATGAGGGTGAACATCAGGTACTCAAAGTAGGTAGAGTTCACCACGTACCATACCTTGTACTGATACGGGTTCTTGGGGATGTACCTGCGCAGGGGACGGGCCTTCAGGGCATATTCCACACACTGACGCTGTACACACACAGAAATGTATGGAGATATAATTAGAGTTACACTTTTAAACACTCTCAGTGTTCCTGTAGAGATATTGTCACCAGTCTACCTGGTTCTTGTCCAGCTCACAGTTTTTGTACTCTTGCTCTCCATGATCCTGAAATGTCACAATGACGAAACCTACGAATATGTTCATCATGAAGAAGGCGATGATGATGATGTAGATGATGAAGAATATAGAGATGTTCATCATGAAGAAGGCAATGATGATGATGTAGATGATGAAGAATATAGAGATGATCACACGGTAGTTGTAGACTGGACCAACATCCTCTGCATGGGAGTCAATGGCTCTGTAGAGGAGCCTGTGGGAGAACAGAGAGCTTCTTGAAACACTGCTTTTAAAATTATTAATTAATTTATAGTAATATTTATAGAGTATTTACGGAGTTGGTTCAATATTAGCTTTTAGAAATTGGTAACATGAAATCTCACATGTATTGGCATCGACTACAGAAATTGTTGTTTTGTGATTGTGCACCATTCAAAAGTTTATTTTTGTTCAGCAGGGACGCATTAAACTGATCCAAAGTGACAGTAAAGACATTTATGAATATATTTCATTTCAGAAACTAATATATGTTCTTTTATATTTAAAGAATCACAAGAAAATGTATCACTGTTTCCACAAAAATATTAACAAGAAATGTTTCTTGAGCACCAGATAACCATATTAGAATGATTTTTGAAGGATCATCTGACACTGAATACTGGAGTAATGGCTGCTGAAAAATCTTATTTCCCCCCCCTCCCCCATCCCCCCCCCAAAAAAACAACACTTCAGAGAGTTGTCATGATTGAAATACTGTATATTTAAGAATTATGTGTGAAGAAGAAGTATGTGTGTGAGCAAGTTTGAGTGTGTTTGTGTATCGCACCCTGGCCAACCCTCAAAAGTGGACACGGCAAACAGAGCCATCATGCCCTGCAGGACATCATCAAAGTTGAAGTCACTGTTCTCCCATGAACGCGATTTCACTGGTTTCCCAACATTCCCGTCTTTGAATAATATATAGGACCCCCTGTAATACACACACACAGTGCACACATATACATATGAATGAGCTGTTTTTTAATGTAAATGTTACTGTAAACTTTGTGCTCAAAGAAAGAGGGATGTTACCTGCATTCGGACTGTGTCTGTTTAGAGGTGTCTGTGCAGTAGAAGAATTTGCCCTAGAAAACAAACATCAGTTCTCACACATGAACATTTTACAACACAAATGTCCCAACAGCACATACAACAGAACCGGACTAAAATCCCATTCATTTTCTCTATAGAGAACTAGATTTTCAGCAATAATGTATAAACCTTTCACTGTTTTGCTCTTTTACAGAAGTACGTGTTGTGAGAAAGCACAAATTACCTTGAAAAGTTGAACACCAATACAGGCAAACATGAACTGCAGCAAAGTGGTGACGATGACGATGTTCCCGATGGTACGGATGGCTACAAACACACACTGGACCACATGCTGTGGATACAAACAAAGCTCTCAGTTAAAATAAATGCTCAGCGCATCCATCACACTATATGGAAAGTGTAGGTTAGAGTCATCTGAACAGTTTTTTTATTTTTTTGTAAAAGAGAGAGACTCACTTTGAGGCCCTTGGCTCTGTTGATTGCTCTCAGGGGCCTCAACACCCTCAGCACTCTGAGAATCTTCACTACATTAATGGCACTTGACCTGTGAATCACAGTACAGTTCAGCTCCTCCAATCAGAATGGCTAATTACTGATCATGTGACCTAAACAAAACACTATACAGAGAAGCAGATGCCCCTGGACAGCAGAGGAGGTATTAGGAGGTAAATGCATTTCCCCGTTCAACTCTGTTAATAGATTAAGTAATAATGCAATCAAAGAAATTCTACATTGGCACCAAAGGCTAAATTTAAATTTTTTTTTTAAACATTGTTTTATTATAATAATTAAACAATAATCAGAAGAATATGAATATATATACATACATACAGACAGCATCTTGAGTATTCTTTATATACTATTATAGTATTTATTAATATTTTTAGCAAACTTTTTCATGTTAATTTTAGTCTACGTTTTAGTCAGTTTGTTATGTGCTTTATAAGATAATTTATTTATTACAATTATTTAAAAAATTCAAAATAATGTTTTTTTTATCATTTTTAATTTTAATACTTCAACTTCAACGTTTTACATTTATTTCAGTTAGTTGCCAAGGTAATGTTTCCAATTTTCATTAAAGTTTTTCCATCTAATATTTATAATTTACTTTATTTCAGATTCATTTCAATTACCAAAAATATTTTGAATAGTTTTACTTTTAGTTAACAATGACAACATTGAATTGGCCAGACACAAATAGCATTTAATTGGACATTGGTATTAAAAAGTGTTACATTGAATATGTTATTTGTGACATGAGAAGCAGTAGTCCTGGTTAGTTTGTCAGTTAGTTTGGAAAAAGGTACTTACTGAACTCCAGAGGAGATCAGAGACACACTGACCACCACCAGATCCAAAATATTAAAATAATTCCGACAAAATGAACCCTTATGTAGGAATGCTCCATACGTTGTCATCTGAGAGGAAGAGCGGACAAATGGAGAGTCAGTGAGGAATTACATGAGTATGGAAGAAACACGGAGAAGGCTGTAGTAGGAAAGATTAGCATGAAATGAACTGGGACACTTTTACCTTTAAAATGTAAATTTACCTTCAGTATGATCTCTATGGTGAAGATTCCTGTAAACACATAATCTGCATAGCCTAGAATCTAGCAGAGAAAAAGAGAGGCGCACGTATCAAAGCCTCATAACAGCAGCGCTACAAATGTGATGTACATGTCAGTGTGTGTTTGTGTGTACCTGATTCCTGAACGAGTCATTATTCACTGGGTCCTCCGCTGCCAGTGAAATACTGCTCAGCAGTATAAAGAACAGGATTAAATTGGTGAAGATGTTGTGGTTTACAATCTTATGACACAAAACCCTGAACCTACAGAAGAGAGAGAGCAGAAAAAATGGGTTTGAGATACATTTTTGGGTTTGGATTTTGAATAACTATTAAGTAACATAACCCACTGATGTGAAAATCGAGGTCTTTAAGTATATATGTGGTTTTCATACTTGTTATTGGGGCTGAAAATAAAGAAAGCTCTGGCTTCTGGCATGGGGGCAGCTTTCTCCTTCAGCTGAATGTCGGAGAGTGGACGTGGACGAGGACCTACTGGCATCTCTGGCTCCTCATCGTCCTCCTCTGCTGCTGAAAAGAACAAACAAGAATTTTTTGGAAAGAATTCCACTAAGTGCATCAGACACATCATCTCTCAACAGTTCCACACGTCTTTGCATTACTGTAAAAAAAAGTGAAGATAACATGGACCAGGAAATGTGTTGAACTTGGGGGAAATCAACAAGAGTAAAGAGAAAGACGCCTTTGCTCAACCGAAAAACAGTTCACATAGAGTGCTCCCAGAGCTGAATAAAACAGGCCTGGGCTCTTCTGTAGAATTGCTTTTGACTCTTTCTTCAGTTTTTTTATGAAAAAACAGTATTTTTTTAGCACATTCTCTTAACACACCTGGGAAATCGTTCACAGGATATGGGTTCTTCTCCTCATTCTCCTCCCCTGTGTACTCATCTATGTTGATCTAAAATCAGAAAGCAAACAATTTTAAAATGTTTTAATATATTTATTATAAATCATTAATAATATCAATATAATTAAAAATATAATTATTCACCCGACAAATTACTGTAAAATGGTAATTAAAAATAATTAATTATTACAAAAAATTTAAAATAGTTGGCATCTGTGCATTTCTGTCTGTGGTCTGTACGTAATTTTTTTAATTGCATACAATAAACAATAAAATGTCTTTTATAATGTTTTTGTTGCCACCGTCGCCACTCCAGGCTGTGTGCACTATATTGCTATTAATCTGTTCCCTTAATCTGTGTTTCTATGTGGCCTCTTGCTAGTGACCTTGGTAGCAGTTGGCATCTCTCCATCAGAAGTGATGGATTTTAGTTCAATCTTTTCCTCTTTCTTTTCATCCTTCAGAGGTGGTTTCTCAGAGTTCTGGCGCTTCTCTGGACTGGCCGTTCTGTAAGACAGAAATTGCGTCATGAATGTGTGCGTTTGCAGCTTTACAGTCCCACTAAGCACCTGTATTTACAGCTCTTCAGAGGGACAAAAACACTTCTGCAAAATGATCCTTAATTTCCTCAATGTTAAACTAATGAAGTCATAACTGATACACTTAATGAGCTCATTAGGCAGGGGGCAGGAAATCTTTATAGGAAGGTTTTATGGGCCCTCAGACCACCTCAAAGCATTGCACTCATGTGAACTGTGAGTCATTGAACCTGGCCAGCTTCTTCCTCTCTTTCTCCTCCTCTTCCTCTTTCTGCGCTGATGTCAGACTCTCTGCGTCTGCCAGGTTGTCCACGGCAATGGCCAAGAAGACATTCAGGAGGATGTCTGTTTAGAGTTCAGGAACAGAAATATCTGTTTTATAATGAACTCTTTTATTTTGTCACATAATGTTGTGTTAAACAGGTTTTAGGATACAGTTTCCGCAGATGAAGAGGATGATGAAATAAATGCAGACAAGCATGCCAGGAAAGGAGGGCCCACCGTACGCCATGATCCCATCAAACATCACAGAGTTCCAGTCCTCTCCAGTCAAAATCTACAATCAGAAAATAAATCCAAATCAAACATGAGTCAGGTTTGAAGACACATGAAGAGTGTGTGCTGTGGTTCAGACTGTGGCAGAACCTGAAAGACGGTGAGGAGAGACTGGGGGAAGTTATCGAAGGTGCTGCGGCGCGTCTCGTCAAAGTTGAACTTGCCACCAAAGAGCTGCATTCCGAGCAGACTGAAGATGATGATGAACAGGAAGAGCAGCAAAAGCAGGGACGCGATAGAGCGCACCGAGTTCAGCAGAGACGCCACTAGATTACTGAGAGAGTTCCAGTACCTGAGAGAGGACAGTCAGCATTAATACAAAGTCACACCCCACAATGAATGAAACATACATGTCTTTAACACATACCTGGTGATCTTGAAGATGCGGAGCAGACGCACACAGCGCAGCACAGAGATGCCGAGGGGTGACATGATCTTAGTCTCTACCAGGATAGTCTCCAGAATTCCACCGCACACCACAAAACTGTCGAAGCGGTTAAAAAGGGAGACGAAATAGGCCTGTAGGCCCAGGCTGTACATCTTCAGCAGCATCTCACCGGTAAAAAGAGCCAGCATCACCTTATTGGCGATATCTGTAAGCACAGAAACAACATATCCATTCACTATGAGATTTATACACCACAGAGACCTGAAAAGCTGTTCACTACAGTTTTTTTTTTTTTTTTAACCCTCTGAGGTCTGAGAGTGTTTTTTGGCCCTGGAGAAGTTTTGACATGCCCTGACAATAGCGTTTTTTTTTTTTTCCATTTTTCAGTTTCTTATAAACATATTAATGGGTAAAGTCTGATTACACCTTATTCAGCACAAACTGTGTTACAATCATTTAAAATAAATATAAATAGAATTAAATACGTTAATTAATACTTAAATTGATCAAAAGTGACAGTAAAGACATTTTATAATGTTAAAAATGTATCATGGCTTCCAGAAAGATATTAAGCTGCACAACTGTTTTCAACATTGACAATAATAGGAATTGTTTCTTGAGTCCAAATCAGCATATTAGAACAATTTCTAAAGGATCATGTGGCACTGAAGACTGGAGTAATGACTGCTGAAAAATTAGCTTTGCCATCACAGGAATAAATGACATTTTAAGTAATAGTTTATAAATTACAATAATATTTCACAATATTACTGTTTTCACTTGATCAAATAAATGCCGCCTTTGTGAGCATAAGAGACTAAAACATTTAAAAAATCTTATCTTAAAATCTTATGAACAGTTCTGTACATTGAGTGTGTCTGGGGAAAAAAACTAATATAGTGTTACAAGGTGTAACACACAAAGTGTTTACAAAGTTCTTCAGTATAGACAAATCAAACCAAGGTTCTGAGATCAATTACGCAACAACATTTCATGGGGTTTTATGGGATTGGATGGTCACTGCTGAGCTCTGAGAGATACGAGATATGGAAGTCATAAAAGTAGCTTCACCAAGGACAACTAATCAAAATATGAAGTATATCACACGTACACTAAATATTTGACTGCTCAAGGCTGCATTGTTGTTTATTTTAGTAGCAACAGTATTGTATATTGAAATATGTACGGTATTGTAGTGTTGTGTACCTTGTACATTGGTGAGCCAGTCTGGCTGCTGGTGGTGCTCAGAGGCAATGGTAAGCGTGTTCAAAAATACCAGGAAAATCACCAGCCAGTAGAACACATTTGACTTCACTGCTGCACGGCACGTGCGCCGACATAACCGATTCCATCGGCGTGAATATCGACTGCAAATACAAAGAGAGAGACAGAGAAACAGAGAGAGAAATATCATATAAAACGTGCAAAATTCTAAGTCTGTACAATCTGACACCATTCTTACCAGCCGGGATAAACATCCTTTCAGTATTCACTAAATGCACTATCTGGAAACATAACAACTATGTGTGTTTGTACTGGCAGTGATTGGAAATGCTGCTGCTCTCAATTCTTTTGGCAAACAAATCTAACCTGAACAACACTGGCAGTCTGAACTTGTTAATGGATGTTCAGCCACTGATTAGAGTGCAACCGTGATGATCAAAACACAACACTGGCATCGAAACACAACAAACACACACAAAACACACACACACATATATATGAAGAGCAGTAAGGAAGGCAGCCTCGCCTTCCGGCGGTATGTAATGTACTAACCTGAATTTGGATTTGGAGATCCTATTTCTGGAATGGAAAACAGAATGTATTATACATACAGAACAGACACAACATCATGAAGGACAGTGTTTCCACAGAGACAGCAGAACTGGGGGGGATAGATAGATAGATAGATAGATAGATAGATAGATAGATAGATAGATAGATAGATAGATAGACAGACACTGAGTGCTGCATTGCCTTACTGTTTTCAGGAAACATTTTTGTTACATTCAACTTGCAGTATGCATTCATATTTATGAGAAATTAAACAGTTCTTATGATTTAACTGGTCACATATTTTCAATATCTGTGGGAATGTTTGTACATAATTACTGTTATGGCTGTGTATTGCATAAATGTTCCTGTCTGTGTTTGTGACACAAAACACGGATCACTAACGGGGCAGATCAGCTGGAAAACAGATGACAGCAACAGATGCACAGAGAAAAAAGAAAAAAAAAACACACTGAAGATCACGGGAGCGCCAGGAGCCGCCCACTGAGCCCTGCTGACCTCTCCTACCAGTTCACTGGCATTAACTTGGACTCCTAAAACCATTTAAAACTAGCTCTCAACCTTACAACTGAGATCTCTGTAAATGTCTGAATACTGAAAAGCATAAGTCTGAAGAGAATTAAACATGGAGGGAAATAGAAATGTAATTACGGAATTAGAGGAAAGGAGAAGAGATGATCAGGAAGGAGAACAGAAGGAGGAGGAGAAAAGAGGAGGAACAGGATGCTTTGGGGACTTACGCCATGCGAGTACAGCAGGTCTCTCCCTCCATGTCTCCAGCGGGAGCATTATCAGTGTTCACTGACTCATTTTCACTGGCCGGCATACTCACTGCATGAGAGAGAGGGAAAGAGAGGGAGAGAGAGAGTGCGATGAATTACCAGCAAAAGATTATACTCATTGCTCATCAAAGGCTGGTTTCACACACACACACACACACACACACACACACACACAGACTTTCAACCTCTAAAGAACCCTTACTTAAGCTTTTACACTGACAGCAGATATGATCGGGGTTCAAAATTAACACTTACCAAATGACAAATGTGAGTAAAAACAGGCTTTGACAACATAAGGCATATGTTGCATAAGTCTAACTGCAAGGACAATAATCTCACTGATGTAAGTGAGGTGACTGATTCAAAGACAAACCGTTTACTAAAGAAAACATCTGCCATGACCTTTTGCATTCATCTAAGGACTTTTCTTTTCTCTCTCTCTCTCTCTCTCTCTAGAACATATGTGAAATATTCTTCACAGCAAGCCACCAAAAAAAAATACATCATGAGCTAAATCACAATGTGTTTGTTGACTGTGACAGGTACAGTTTCAATGAGAAACAGAGATTAGATCGTTTTGTATATGATGTGTCAAAAAAACAAAGCTGTTTGTCACTGATATGCAAATAAAAAAACCAAATCACAAATTCAGTTTTGTCATAAGGACCAAACTGTAGTAAAATCGTAATATAAAATCATGCTAAATTAGACCTGTTAAACAGGTAGGAAGAAAAAGAGTTAGAATAAATAAAAAATTCGAGAAAGTTGCTACTGAGCCAGTTCTTATTAAACAGACTCAACAGTCTTGATGACAGCCAAGACAACCTTTCATTCATATCCATGCTCAGATGTGACCTTTAATGTTTAATATGGACCATATGTGAGAATGTCTGCCCCAAAAAGTGTTTGAAAAGAATAGAATATCACATTTCATCAACACACACATACTGTGTGTGATGGGAGTTGAACCAATGAATCAATCTTTATTAAACTAGACCTCAAACCAACAGCATAAACACTTAATGATTTGAATGGGTTCCTTTCAGATTTTTTTTGGATGGGTTCATTCAGATTTCAAAACAAAACAAACCAAAGTTGGACAAACGTACCCAAATACATCATGTAAAAGACTTTTTTTTTAGTCAAAACAATGCTAATCTACCAATCAGCATGCAGACCTACAATTCCATCTCATTAACATGCACATGGGGCGGGGTCAAGCAGGGTGCCTAAATTCCATGCTGCATTTTCATTGGCTCTGATATTTTCTCCTAATTCTATTTCTTAGTTAAAAACACACATTATCATCCAGACTACACCACCCTTGAAAATGGGATTATGGGATTATGTTTGATCAGATATTCCAAGACAGGATTACAGATGTCGAACTGTGACATTACATCATCAGTATGCTGATGATGTATTATGAAAATTGATGTATTTAAAAATGAAATGAACATTACCCTTGTAATTTTCCCCTCTTTTTAAAAGATATTTCAGATAAAATACATAACGCAAACACTCGAAACAAATCTCACGTAGATGGGGGTGAAGCAACAAAAGTCAGGAGAAAAATGTCCACAATACTTTGCGATCTATCTCTATTAACATCTCACCATGGCTGTCAAAGAGAAATCACAACCTCAGAGACAGAACCATCTGAACCGTGGTGTGCACAGCAGAAATGTTTCTATCTAAGTATCACATGCAGATCACATCGGAACAGAAGCCTGATGTGTGACTAAAATTTACTACAAAGCACCTGATTCTGATTAAAATACCTGGAGAGAAAAAAAAAAAGACATGCTATAAATGCAGATATTTCAAACAGAAAGACTTCTACAACCCCAAAAGAGCAGTGAGTCCAAATATCAAAACTCTCAGATTTTCATGCCCGTCATCATTCAGAAATCTAAAATACAGAGAACTGAGCGGGAAGACCCCATCGCCCTCCGCACCCAGATTGACCAGTCTGGGTGGGGAAGGATGTGCTGGGGGCCAGTATAAAGGTCTGGGGGGCTTGTTGCACTTTTGCCATGCAAACACGCAAAAGTAAACCGAGGTTGCTATGGAGACGCACACGCCTTACGAAGCAGAGCTGCTTTTTTCTTCACCGCTCCACGGATGTACTGTAAACGATGAGTCTTCCCTGAAAACAACAGAGCGAGACTCAAACAGTCAAAGACAGACACACTCACAGACAGAAAGAGAGAGAGAGACGCCACCAGCCCTCTCTGCCCCAAACATTTATCGCTAAGAATGGCGGTCACAACCAACTCAAGACACTTGTCACAAATTACTTAACATAAAACATTACTGTTAATACAAAAAATACAAATAATCTGTTAAAGTCCCCCTGTAGTCAAATATTTTATCTCTTAAAACTTATCTTTGATCATCAAAATGACATATTTAAATGGTTTTTCTTGTGAAAATAATTTTCTCATTCCTTAAAATAGCTTGAATGCAACTCTACACCCTTGCCTCATTTACTATACGCTGATCTATGAATATGCAAATTAGTCCCGCCTCCACTCAGTTACACATCAGCCAGCGCCTCCTGATCCACTGAACTGTAGTAACCGCAAAACAATGGCATACACGGATAATGACTGATAAAACTATCTTTTTACTAGCGGACAACTACAGTGAATACTGTAACATTCGTTAAAGTTACTTACTTGACGATGTTGTGTCCTAAAATGCCTTAAAGACTCGAATACAGCCATTTGTGATTCTTAGTGATTCGCCTGCAATCATACGCGTGTGAAGTGCAGACGCCGATGCGGGAGAGGTGGGTCTGACTCCGGGCTACTTTTACACTGTTGCCACGGGTTATAATGCAAGTTAGCGGTTCTAAATTCACATTAAACCACAGCTTCATGGGTTTTTTGCTTTAATTTATTTTTGGTTTTGTGCTAGTATTTGGTATATTTTGCATGCTAGTTAGAGGAATCGATCCCTTAACGTGATTGGTTATTGGTTTGTGACGTAGCTAACCGAGGGCTGTTTCAAACCACATTTCTGGGTCAGCCTTTGGGAAACTACAGTTTTAAGGAGAAAATACTCAGCAATGGTGTTGATTAATAGATTGGCACATGGTTTGTCTAAAGGCATATTAAAAACACCACATAGACAAATAAACAACATAAAAAACTTGATTTTCACTACAGGGGGACTTTAAGTTACTGAGCTGCAGTTGTATTTTGTGCCACTAGATGTGCGTCAGCATGTGGATTACAGTATATCTCTAATATACTGTACGTGTGTGAAAGTGTTTTCCCATCTGATCTCAGTAAGGGGCCGGATTGACCATACACAATCTGAGGCTCTGAAATACCAGAGTCAAAAATAAGTCCAAATACACACACACACAAAAGTCTGTATATATATATATATATATATATATATATGTATATGTATATCCCTGCAGGGACTTTCCATTCACATCTATTATTCTTAATATAAACAAAGCCTAAAACTGGCATCTTTTTCTAGTCTAGTGTAGGCATCTTTTTTTAGACATCTTTTTATCTAATGTAGATTACTGTCTAGACATTTTGTGAACCTTTTGTCCTTATGGAGACAAAAGTCCCCCACGAGGACATGGTCTGCCTCTGCTTGCTTATTTTCAAAAATGTAATTCCTAATATGGATAGCAAAACCTGCCAAAATACAAACACAAACACATTCATCTATTCATTCACGTTTTAGTTTGTGGTGAGTTTCTCTCATCTGCAACTGGAACAATCCATATACTATCGAAATATTGTGTATACAGTAATATGGCCAAATAATTTATATCTGTCTCAGCAAGCAAGATTAACTTTCTCCAAAGTTTTTGTGCTCTACAAATGCAAACGCAGGCATGTTGGCAGCCAATCTCACAATCAATATTTTAGGTGAGCTGCTGTTTGTTTTAATCAAATAGAAAACAGATACAGTTTCCGTAATGACAATAAACATAATATCTGAACATGTAAAACTAGCTAATAGACAAATTTGTGTTTTCAGTGAATATTACTCAAAATTGCCAAAATTGACTAGCTGCCTATAGGATGTCAGGCCTTCATCATGCTTGAAGGGCCAGCGATAAAAGAAATATTTAATGTAGATATTTGTAAGTATTTTCAGTATAAATTAAAACAATAGAAAAGTCGGCATTTAACACTGTAACACCTAAAATGTAAAATTTCAATGTCCTCATCTGCATTTAAAATTAATATATTAAATTTGCATGGACAAAGCTCTTGCAAAATGTCTCAGATGCTAACAAACTCAGAGCAGATCAGTTTGCCCCAACCTGGTGCTTCCCTTCTTTATACTCACGATTTCTAGGCTTGTCGTCATCCAGTCCCTCGTCGTCGTTCTCAGGGTCGATATCCTCCGCCTGCGTGATCCAGTCCAGGTAGCCCTTTAGATCCTCCTCCAGCTGCTGCTTCTCACGGAGCTTCTGGAAATCACCGCGAGCCTTGGCCTTTTCTCGCTCTTTAGAGAACTCTCTGAGAAATGGAAAGAGAGAGACTTCCTCTAAATACCCATCCCATAAAATAAACAGACTGATTTAGAAAAAAAAGTTTAATAATTAGAAAATATTAAAAGTGCAAATAAATATTAGAAACACTTCTATAAGGGCACATACACTACTGTTCAAAGTTTAGGGTTCTTTAATGTTTTTGAAAAAAAGTTTCTTATGCTCACCAAGCCTGCATTCACTGAATTTGAAAAACAGAAATATTGTGAAATATTATAGCATTTTTTTGTTGTCAATTTTAATATATTTTAAAATATTCTATGAAATATAAAAACACATATATAAAAAATGATTGCTGTGATGGCAAAGCTGAATTTTCAGCAGTCATTTCTTATTATTATCAATGTTGAAAACAGTTGTGATGCTTAGGATTATTAGGATTATTTGATGAATATAAAGTTCAAAAGAACAGCATTTATTTGAAATAAAAGTATTTTGTTACATTATAAATGCCTTTACCTTTCATAAACTTAATGTGTCCTTGCTTAATAAAAAAATAACTAATTATTTTATTATTATTATTTTTTTAATCTTACTGACCCCAAACTTTTGTACAGTGGTGTATTTCTTGTAAAAAACAGAACAAGACACATTCATAAACTAATTTTAATAACAGAAAAATAAAAAGGCAAACAAAACATCTTTTGACCCTTGCTTGTACAGACTTGTTTTAAACACAAAAAAGACTAAGGAAGATAACAGAGCTCTCTCACACACACGCCCTCCAAAGGATAAAAATGTAGTTAGAAATAAAGAAGATGGAGAGAGAATGAATGAGTGTCCCTTACCCGCTTAAAACCCCAAGAACCAAATTAAGAACAAAAAAGGAGCCAATGATGATTAAAGTGACAAAATAAAGCCATGGCCAGGAATTCCCTACAGCATCATTCACCTGGGAATGGAGGAAAGGATGGAGTATGGGGGAAGAGAGGGATGGATGGATGGAGGGGTAGAGTTGAAAAGGGATGAATGAATAATTAGTATGTGTCTGCTGGACTTGGGCAGTGCTACACAACCCCTCTCTGGCTCGCTCAATCCCAGTGCTTTGAGAAAGAAAATGTGTTTGATCAGAGTTCAGACAGAGCTTGTTCTATTGTCCACACACACACACACACACATTCAGCACACAATGCTTACCCACTCAACACACCCAGAACCAGATTTAGAACGAAAAAGGATCCAAAGATGACCAGACTGACAAAATAGACCCATGGAAGCTCATAACCCATGGCATCCTGCATCTGAGATGAGGAGGGGACAGTTAGAAAAAGAAAGAAGAGCAGAGAGGAGAGGAAGACAGTCAGCGGAAACGAGTGCAGTGAACAGCACATGCTTGTCCCTCAGAAACCCAGAACATCAAGAAAACCCATGAAGCATAGAGCAAATTCAAAAGAGAGAAAGACAGAGAGAGAGAGAGAGAGAGAGAGAGTTCAGCCGAGTCTGTTTGACTGCATTAAAAGATGTCATCAGGAAAACCGTCAATCACTTTAAGTATCTGGAAGAGTACAGAAAACTGAGATACAGTGAAGATGGGCTTTAGAGAGCAGCAGTGATATAATCACATTCACAGGGCTCAACAGGACTTTTTCTGATACCGAGTCGGGCCAGTAGTTTTTTTTTTTTGTTACTTGCCATGCAAACATTTTCAGTGGCCCCACCATATTAGAAGGTTTGATATTTGTTTTTAGCAATGTTTTATGCTTGCTGGAAATATTTATATTTATCATTTCATACTAAGTTTTATATAGCTATAATGTAACTTCATAAATTCATAAACACCCTTTTGCTAGAAAATAATGTCATATGATGACATATCAATGATAGTTTTCAGCACTTTTTTACTGTTGTATTACAAGTCATTTCTGCAAATTCAAAACATTGTCTTGGTGAAGAATCAGCAGAATATTTTCAATGTAAAATATATCACAAAAATCCAAAGGTTTAAATTCGCAAGGTAAAAAGATGGATGTACAAAATCAATTAATGTAAAAATTACAGTGGCAACGCAGCACTGGCCCGTAACATACACACCACTCACCTAGTCAAAAAAAAAAAAGATATTTAAAAAATATATATAAAATAAAATAAATCGCAACAGAATGTGGATTCCTAATAGAATTTTCATTCTAATTTGGAACTAAGAATGAATCTTTCAAAAACTCCTCAGAATAATCTCTATCCACAATAATGGCGATCACATTGGGAGCTTATAAAATCCCCCAAAATATATTTGAAACACTTTAAATGCTATGCAGGGGCATTTTTACCTATATTCCATAAGATTTTCTCTGAAATCCTATAGGAAAATTCCCATTATAGTTACATTATGATTCTATTTAGGATTTGTTCCAAATTAGGAAAGAAATTCAAATAGGGTTCCTTTAGGATCTTTAACTAAAGACACTGGGAGATATTCTTAACCCTGCTGTACCTCATTCATGTGTCTTTTCTCATTAAAGAGACCATGTGTGCTCATACAGTCATTAGGTGTGGTGTGCCGTTATTGGAGCAGACTCACCCAGTACAGGACGTCAGTCCAGCCCTCCATCGTGATGCATTGAAACACAGTTAGCATGGCAAATGCAAAGTTATCAAAGTTCGTGATACCATCATTTGGGCCCGCCCATCCCATCATGCACTGCGTTATGTTGGCTGGGGAGCAGTGTCGTCCATGGGTGGAGCTTGGGGCGCAGGGGGCCGGCTTCTCTTCAGATATAGTACCTGAAATAAAACGGGATTTTGTAAGCTGATCCGGGTAAATACCAGGGGCCAATGACTAGAACAAAGAAGGAACAAATACTACAGATAAAGCCCAGACCTTTGTGTCCATCTTTGAAGAAAAAACAGGTTCTGTGCATCTTGCCCATGAAGAGCTCGAGGCCGATGATGGCATAAATGATGATGACGAACAGAACGAGCAGAGCGATGTGCAGGAGGGGAACCATGGCTTTAATGATGGAGTTCAGCACCACCTGTAAACCTGCAAGCACACAAGGAATCAAAAAATTACTGTAGATAATTCTCATGGATGGTTTTCTTTGTTTTATGAGTAAAGCATTTATATTCTGAAAAGTAACTGTTTATACTCAGAATATTATCAATAATAAAATCATAATGTGCAGTCATCAGCTAATTATGATCCCACTGTGAAGCCAGAACAGCTTAAAACAAATGGTCAATTACAGTATACAGTTTAAAAGTCATTACACTTAGGTGTTAAAAAAATATTTGACTGCAGAATAAAGTGACTGCTTAATCAGATTCAAGTATTTCAGAGAGACATATAATAACAACTAATGAATGTTCGCATTCTGGACAAAACTGGCAATCAGAAAAAAAAATGGATTTGCCTACACAATAATAAAAAGCTGTGCCTACACATGCTGATAAGAATGGCTTAATAGAGTTTTGACTTCTGAATTTCTGGGTTGTGTTTACTGATTCTCGAATCATTTCAGATCCTCCTACAGTAAGGAAATGGACATTTATTTAAATTCGTGGTCTCTCAGGTTCTCAGTTCTGACTCATGGACAACTTACTCAACAGTCATCAGATGTGTATGTGTGTGTGTGTGTGTACTCACTAGGTACTCCAGATACGAGTCTCAGAGGTCTCAACACTCTAAAGGCTCGCAGGGCTTTTACATCAAACCCTGCAGCCTTGCCTCCCATTGAAGTCCCACCATCCCCTTTAGTGGCCTGCTCTAATATTGCACTGAACAGCCTGAAAGAGAGAGAGAAAGTGGAAGCTATCGATTCATTATCAATTTACATTTAACATTAAATTTAAACTAAGAAATTTGTTAAGTGAGAAAAAGAAAGCAGTCCTGACTTTACCCAGTAGGCAACAAATGAAAATCATGGGGGGAACAAATGCTTTTTCCATGATATGACTAGAGTCTTTTAAACATACTATTATGTTTTTTTTTTTTACCATTCATTTCTACTGGAAGTGAACACTACTTTGAAACACTATTATAAGTGCTATCAACACCATGCACATTTAATATTATATTTGAAAATAAGATCAAATAAAATAAAATGAAAAGCCTCTTTAGCAATTAGCTTTAAACATAAATCTACTTTATTTGATTTTTTAATAAATAAAGAAAGTCTATTTTTAAAAACGACTTAAAGGGGTCATATGATGCGATTTCAAGTTTTCCTTTCTCTTTGGAGTGTTACAACCTGATTGTGCATAGATAAGATCCCTGAAGTTGCAAAGACTAAAGTCTCAAAACCAAAGAGATATACTTTATGAAAGTTAAGACTCTGCCACGCCCCCCTAAAACGGCTCGTTCTAACACACCCCCACATATCTAC